GTTTAGTGTACCCCGGAAACTAATTCACATTCCAAGGGACTCGCAATCTACTTCAGGAAAAAAAAAAAAAAAAATGAACACGGGCTTGTGAATAGGATTGTTGGGTTGGATTTGGCTGAAACACCGTTTCTTTTGCATGCTGAATTTATTTCTCTTAATTTACATCTTATATCCTCCGCTTGTAAACATAACGCTATCTTAACCCGTTATTGTTTTTTTATGCTAAAATATATAATACAATACAGAAAGAAAATATCAACAGAAATATATATTTCCTATATTTATCTCCGGTGGAACTTATTCTGAAACATACTACAAAGTATATGATAATATTACAGAGTACAAATCAGAATAACAAAAATAACATTTTATAAATTTACGAAAACTTCAATCCTGACAGTAACTTATATTATTGATTATGCATAACCTTGTATTTTATATATAATGAATATATTACGTACCTCAAGTATGAGATTTGTTGGCGTACACTGACGAAGGTAATTATAAACGACCTTAGTACCACTATTACCTGTAGAATTACAAAATTATCGATGGAAAAATCAGGATACTTTGTCTTTGGAGGGTGCAACGCTCTCGCTAACAAATATCGACATTTCAAAATGTGCATAAATGAGACATGTGGATAATGTACTTTGCACGTAACATAATTGGAACGGTTTCAAAGAAAGTGAAATGTAGACGTAAAGAGCCTTACGAATTAATGTACAAGTGTAGCCGCGGGGAAACTGAAATACTAATATTGTGCTACCGAGACAGACGCACAGAGACAGAGGGAAATAGACTGCCATCTTATGTGTTTTGGGTTCGCATGTTACCCTGGCTTTAGGATTTCGTCTCTTGTGGGTGCTTCGCTCTCGGTAACAAATACCAAATAGTTAAGTAAAACGACTTGAGTTCATTACAGGCAGTAACAATGTCTAGAATCGTTGAAAGCAGTGGACTTCATGCAGAAAAATATCAAAATTGTTTCGAAAATAACCCACTACCCTCTTCTACATATTGACCCAATTATGTTTACAAGACCTATTTACATTACTAAGGAAACTTTGCCGATATTCCTTGGGTGATAAAGAGTATAAAAGTTCTTATGTACAAGTCCATACTTACTGACAATGTAGTTACCTATGTACCTTACACACACTGCACAACTAAGTAAGCAAATATGAAGACACACGAATTTTCTTTAAATATATCAGATACTTTTCTCCGCTGCATTCAGTCTGTCCTTCGCCATCATAAGAATGCGCACAGGATTCTTCATGGGCTCTTTCAGAAACCTTCTCACGAAGTTCAGGTAAATCATCCCAGCAGCCTGGCACAGCAACACAGCGACGAGCTGGGCGAGGCTATGCTCGGAGCGCTGGCAGACGTGACACCAAATGGCCCAACCACAGCAGACGACGCTCTCGCCCCCTTGGTAGCTCATCACCAAAGTCTTGTCGAAGAAATACCGGTCCACGACGTCGCCCCAAAGACGCACATTCCTTCTGAGATTCTTGTAGACTAACTCCCCGACCAGGGCGAGATATCCCGCTGCTTTGACGCTCAGGTACAAAATGGCGCCTTTGACCAGCCCGTCCGTGGCGACGGCACCCATCAGAAAGATTCGGCATACTGTAGGTGAAGAAGATTGCTAAACTACCTGACTATCTGATTACTGCCCAAATCCCACTGATTCCATAAACAGTACTATTCCATTAATGCCCCTAACAATCCTGTTAACTCTACAAACTATCACTTTAACTCCATAAACGCATAAAAAAACACCCATATAAAAACCTCTTGCAATGCTTCTTCAGTAATGTAAAATCAGCAAAATCCGCCATTTTATCATCACTGAGTTTTCTTTGTAAATTTGTAATTTCTTAAATCAACCTGGAATCATGTATTTCAATAACAAAAATAAAACAACATAAAAATCCTTTGCAATGCCTTCTCAGATAGAAAGACTTCAACCCTTGATAGTAGAGGTCACTCCAGTCGATGAGCGTATTATGGTATTGAGACTGAAGCTTTCATTTGGCTTCATGTCTCTTATTGCTGTGTACACTCCTACGGATGTATATAAACTTGAGGTGAAAGAGATATTTTACGCCAAACTTGCATCTGTGACAGACAGCTGTCCTCGACGAGATATTCGTATTGTTCTGGGTGACTTCAATGCGGTATCTAGCTGCAATCGAGCTGGCTACATGTCTGTCGGTCCTCATGGCTCAGGAGCTGATGTTGGCAGCGAGAATAGCCTCCTTTTCCGTGACTTTGCTAGGTCCCAGAAATTGAGGATTTCTGGCTCCTGGTATCAGCGCTCCAACCCGCATTGTTGGACATGTTACAGCGATACGGCTAGTGTGGCCAAGGAGATCGACCATATAGCACTTGATGGAGGATCCTCCAGAACTGCAGGGTGTATCGAAGCACCGAGTTCTGTAGAACCGATCATAGATTAGTTGTGGTTACTCTCGGGTCCACTTTAGAACGCCCCGTCGCCTAAATGAACACCCTAGGGTGTTTCACTAGGACAGATTGAGGGAGGATGAGTGTGCCTGGGGGTTTGCCGAGGCTATCTCTGGTCGTTTCACAGCACTTGAAGGCCTGGCAGACCCTGTTCTTCTGTGGGACACCTTCAAGCGTGAAACGCTTGACGCAGCCCATGAATCGATTTGTGAATGCCCAAGAGCAAGACAGAATTCCATCTCGCAGGAGACACTGGAAGCCACAGATGCTTGTCATGCAGCTCGATTGTCAGAGGATCGCAACTTGCACCGTTCTCTGGCGTGTAGGACTAGGACACTGTTGAGAAGAGATAAGGAACAGTTTATCAGGAATCTTGCAGAGGAAGTCGAAAGCCATTTCCTAGTAAATGACCTTCACCCTGCCTACCAAGCCCTGAGAAAGCTGAACTCCAAGCCCTCCTCACAGACGACTGCAGTCCGCTCAGCAAATGGCCAGATAATCTCAGATCCTGATGGGGTGCGTGTGCGATGGGCTGAGTATTTTGAGCAGTTGTATCAGGTTGATCTACCAACAGTTAACATGGATGTGGGGAATGTCGAGATTCCTCTGCCTGACCCACCCACCCATAAGCGAGGATCCACCCTTCCTGACTGAAGTCAGGGGGGCGATCTCCAAGCTGAAGAGTGGAAAAGCAGCAGGTGTTTGTGGCATCCCAGCTGAATTGTTAAAGGCTGGTGGAGAACCTATGGCAAGGGGCTTACATGCAGTCCTGTCTGCCATCTGGCAGACCGGTACCATTCCCCCTGACCTGCTGGGGGGTGTGGTCATCCCTCTCTGGAAGGGGAAAGGGGATCAGTGGGAATGCAGCAATCACCGAGGCATTACACTGCTCAGTATACCAGGCAAGGCACATATTATTGAGACGTATCAGAGACCACCTGCTGAGGCACCAAAGGCTGGAGCAATCTGGATTCACTTCTGGTAAGTCCACAATAGCCCGCATCCTGGCACTTTGAGTCATTGTAGAGCGCCGTCGTGACTTCGGTCGTGGACTGTTTACAGCCTACATCGACCTTAAGAAGGTGTTTGATACTGTGCATTGTGAATCACTCTGGGAGATCCTGAGGTTACGAGGAGTTCCAACAAGGATTGTTGGATTAATAGCAAACCTGTATACAGGCACTGAGAGTGCTGTAAAGTGTGGTGGGGGCCTGTCGAGCTTCTTCCCTGTTAGTTCAGGTGTGAGGCAAGGCTGTGTTCTTGTACCAACACTTTTCAACACTTGCATGGATTGGATACTGGGTAGAGCTACTGTCCAAAGTCACTGTGGAGCAAGTCTGGGTAATATCAAGGTTACTGACCTTGACTTTGCTGATGATGTTGCCATTCTATCCGAATCTCTGGAAACCCTAGTGGCGGCTCTTGATGCATTTAGCAATGAAGCGAAGCCCCTGGGGCTAGAGGTCTCCTGGACCAAGACCAAGATCCAGGATTTTGGAGGCCTAATAGGAGACCCTGTGCAGTCGGTACATACTTGCGGCTAAAACATTAAAGTTACCAAGTGATTTATATACCTCGGTAGTGCAGTTCACGACTCTGGGCTGTCAGACCAGGAAGTCAGTAGACGGATTGCCTTGGCAGCAGGGGTCATGAAATCTCTCGACAAGAGTATTTAGAGATGTTGGTACCTGTGCAGAAGGAACAAGCTACGTGTTTTCAAGGCCCTGATACTGCCAGTTTTACTATATGGTAATGAAACATGGATGCTATCTTGTGCTTTGGAATCTTGTCTTGATGCCTTTTGTAACAGATCCTTGCGCCGGATCATGGGGTGCGGTTGGCGGGACCATGTGTCCAACCAATGGTTGCACCGTGAAACCAGCAAAGGACCTGTTACTTGCACAATCCGTGATCGCCAACTCAGGCTATACGGCTACTTGGCTCGACTCCTGCAAGATGACCCTGCCCACCAGGTTGTCTTTGTCCGTGACAACCCTGGGTGGAGGAGGCCTGTGGGACGACCAAGAAGGTCGTGGCTTGGGCAGATCAAACCTGTCGTGAGGAACTAGAGATGGGCCGGGCCCCTGCCTGGCGGAATCGCCATGAGAGACCCTCGCAGGTGGAAGCGAAGGGTGGATGCGGCTATGCGCCCCTGCCGGCGTTAGCTCCAAATGATTGATTGATTGGGTAACCCAGAGCTACGCCACATTTTACTAGTAATATTGTTACCATAATTCTTATGCAACAAACAAATATCACTCGCAAACACTCACTGGTGAAACACAACCGCAGCGGTATCTTGGCGAAGGTGTCAGTCCAAGGCTCGTCCGCACCCCGGCACGTGAGGAACCAGGCGGCGGCTGTGAACATCCAGCCGGCGTGGTACAACCCGGTGGCTCTGCCATCTGTGTACGGAGAGAGGAGGGGGTGGCAGAGGAGAAAGGTGAATGTTTTGTCCTGTTACCCGTGTGTGTGTGTATATATATATATATATATATATATGTATATATATATATATACGCATA